AGCGCCATTACGGACAGACAGACAGACAGACAGTGTGGGTATTCCGTCGAGGACGAGCACTGTCTGCTGTCCGTGTTGCTGCTGATTGGCCGGCCGTCAATTGCTGACACAACGACTCTGGCAGCCGCACCGTCGGGGAGCTAAGCCGTAACAGGTTCCGTTTCGAAGGGTCCCTCGAAATCTTTCGCTGGCTGCAGCCATGTTCCCTCCACGCTCGGCCTCCCTCCCTCCCTGCACTGCGCCAAACGCCTGCATCTGCACCTGCACCTCTCGCCCTTTTTTTTTGTTTCTCTGCCTTCCAAAGTTCGCACCCTGATCCTTTTCGACTTGCAGGCACAGGCACAGGCACGGCACAGGAGAAGCAGAACGCAGTGCAGCCACTGTCGCTGTCGCTGTCGCTGTCACTGTCACTGTCATCATCACTGCCACTGCCACTGCCACTGCCAATGCCCTGCAGCTGCCATTACGACTGCTGACGCCCTGAGCCTCGTCCTCGTTGCCCGTGTTCTCCTCATAGCCCCGTCGTTTCCTCGCCTTTCCTTTTTCACTAGGTACGGTATCTTACCGAATACTACCACTCACTAGACTACCTTACCTTACTTGCTCCTTATGGTCTCCCTCTCCCTCTCCTTTCCTTAACCCCCTCTCCCCTACCGAGGCCTTCCGGGCCCTGGCTTTCTTCTTTTCCTCCTTCCCTCCCTCTCTCTTCTGTTATCTGCCCTGCAAGGGATCGAGTCAATCCGCCATACGCAGCGAGAAAGGTTATTCCAGCGCCAAGGTTCTTGCTTCAGTGAGTTTGTTCATCCTGTTCACCCTCGAGTCCCCCAAACACCACGCACGCCAAAGACCACCCCCACGGACGGACCGTTTCCACATCAGACTCAAGGCAGACAAGACGGTCTACAGCTACTGCAGTCCAGATACCTTGCAGTCCAGTCCAGTCCAGTCCATCCACAATCCAAATGGTCGGCCGGACCCCGACCAGAAAAGAACCTTCACACTGACGCTGGCCCGGCCTGTGGGCGCCGTGTACGCAGTACCTAGGCACTTTTTACCTCAAGTTGGCTAGTCGACCTTACTGGACCTAAACCCACCCAGACTCGACCTAACGCCGTTCCGTCCCCCGTCTTGTCTCTCCTCCCTACGCCTAACGCCTACGAATACGTCGACTGTTTGACGGGAGGATACGGGTGTCTTGGGTGTTGTTCGAATACACACGGTGCACCGTTCACACCTACCGTACCCTCCACCGTCCTACGCCTACGAATCGCAGACGGTCGCCACCCTCCCATCCATCCAGCTGATAACCTCGCGCTTTATCCCTCTTCCTCCTTTCCCCCACGACAGCCTGCAACTGCAACTACTGCTGCCGCTGCTGCGCGCGACTGCGACTCGCCGACTCGACTCTTCCTACGACACACGCACGACCGTCGTCCCGTCTTGTCTGCGTCCAACACACAACGCACACCACACCGTACCCACCACCACCTCCAGTCCACACGTTGCATATAATCATGTCAAACGGTCCACCCCAGTCCTTGCCGCCGCCGATTCACACGGAACACCAGAACAAGGTTGATGGGAGCTCCGACCCCGTCGCCTCAGATACACTCCTCCGCAATGCAGACTTCAACAACGACACCTCCTTCCCTTACATCGTCACACATCCCCAGATCCAGTTCCGCACAACGACAATAGCACCCTCCCCGCCCTTGTCCGAGTCCTCCTTCCAGCAACTCGAGCCTCAATCCACATTAACCACCAGACCCGGCCCGAGTCCGCTTGTCACAAACAACAACCTCCGAATCCAGACCGACGACCTGCTCCCGAGCCTGCCTACCCGCTACGACAACCACCCCGTCTCCGTCTACACCACTCCTCGCCGACCCAGTGCCGGCCTCGCCCACAAGACATCGTCCTCCAGCCTGAAGCCCGTCTCGAGAACCCCTAGCTTTAAGGCGGCTGTTCACAGTCTCGGCCCCGCCTCGGCCACGAGCTCCTGCCTGCCCAGCCCGATTCTGTCGGCTATGAGCGACGTCACCCCGTTGCCCTCGCCGTTATTATCAGGAGACTCCCCGGGCCCTTGGAAGCGTCTCGGCGTACGACCACCCTCGCGGGATATGCCCAACCCTACCCCAGATTCCGTGCTGGTCTCAGCAACCGGCGAATCAATAGCAGCCGCCCTCGCCAACGCTTCAAAACGCAAGGTTTACGCCGGTCTGGTTACAGAAACCACCGATGGATCAGGCGCAAAGGTGACCCTCAACGCCAAGCAAGAGCATGCACGAAACCGCAGCATCAGCGAGTACATCCCCGACCCGAATTATATACCGAAGCGGCACATCACCGTCTCTGGCTCCCACGTCAAGCCCGAAGCCCAGGAGTCCGCCACCGAACCCCATATGCGCCGCGAGCTGAATCTCGCAGAGTCCAGAGGTTTGACCCCCGCCATCGCCCAGCCGCCGACCCCACCGCCGAGCGAGTCTTCCAAGGACTCGAGCGACTCCACCAGCAAGCCGAAAACAGCCATTCCCGAGTATTTCGAGGCCTTCGACCGCCGCGACAACAAGAGGAGGAGATGGAGGGCAGTCAAGACCCTGGGCCAGGGCACCTTCAGCCGTGTCATGCTGGCGACGAGCCAGATGGACGACGACGACGATACGTTACACCCCGACAGCCTCACGCCAATTTCAGAAATGGGACCGGCCAGAAAGACCCTTGTCGCAGTCAAGGTTTGCGAGCATGGCCCTAGAGGTGGAGCAAGCGAGGACCGCATCGAGATGTCTCTCAAGCGCGAGTTGGAGATTATGCAGAGCATCAGCCATCCGTCGCTGGTACATCTCAAGGCGTGGAACATTGAGCCCAGCCGCGCCATTCTCATCCTCGGCCACTGCCCAGGAGGCGATCTTTTCGATGTCGCTACGGGCCACCGCCAGGTTCTCAAGCCAACGCTGTTGAGGCGGATGTTTGCAGAACTGGTGGGCGCCGTGAGATACCTGCATGAACGCAGAATCGTCCACAGGGATATCAAGCTCGAGAGTGGGTAACCCGGGTTGCGACTACAAACTCAAAAACGATACTGACAATCCATAGATGTGCTCGTCAACCTGACTGCAACCGAGCTGGCGGATCCCTCGACGGACTGGACGACGTACCCGCACTCGGTCATCACCTTGACAGACCTTGGCCTGTCCCGGCGCATCGCCGACGACGAAAAGCTCGAGACCCGCTGCGGGTCGGAAGACTACGCGGCGCCCGAGGTCATCATGGGCTTGCCCTACGACGGCCGTGCGACGGACGCCTGGTCCCTGGGCGTTCTGCTCTATGCCCTTCTCGAAGCCCGCCTGCCGTTCGACCCGTACCCCAACACCATGGACGGCCACCGCATGCGCAGCCGCACGAGCCACCGCATCGCCCGCGCGGAGTGGCGCTGGATCGATTACGCCGGAGAAGACGGCGACCACGAAGGCGACGAGGCCAAGTTCAAGGAACGCGGCCTCCTAGGGGCCATGGAGATCACCGAAGGCCTGCTCCAGCGCGCCAGGAGTAGATGGACGCTCGAGAAGGTTGCAGAGAACGAATGGGTCAAGGGCGCGATCCAGGTAGAAGGCGGCCTGCGTTTCCGCGAAGAGGTCGCCGGCGCAGAGGTATGATGACAGCACTCCGTGAGAATTCATGACGGGAACCAGGTTAGGATATATTATCGCATTGGGATGTACGAGTAGGAGGAACGGTTGGCGGGCGGGCGGGGGCATATCGGGCATCATACCACATGCTCTTACTTTCGATGGTGGGCATTATCATCTGTTCTTCTTTCATTATCATGTTCGACGCGAGAACCATTACTCGCCCATGTAGGGTTGGAGCATTCGCTTCCTAGGGACGACAGAGAGAAAGTCCCCCTTTCACATCTTTTTTCTTCAGACATAGATTAAGCCCACGACGAAAAACTTAGACCTGGCCAGCGAAGGTGTTGCTATTATTTTTGGAGATGGGATTTGTTTCATTTTTAGTTGTACAGCTATTGGGGCCGTTGGTTTGCCCGTTATATCTTTTCCCATCATGATTGTGTGTCTTCCAAGATACGTCGATCATGGTTATGTTTCGAATACCCAAAACAACCTTTGACTTCTCGGAATTTTGTCTCCGGATGCTGTGTGTCGCTGAGTCTTGTCCCGTTCTGGCGTCGCGTGTCACAGGTCAGTCATCCTTTTTGGCAAATGCTTTTGCGTGGCGCCGTTTGTGAGGTGCCGTCGATCCGGTCCATGCGGCTCATGACCGTGGGTGAGGTACAGGTTTTTGGAGGAGACCGGATCCAGAAGGAGAAACGGGCAAAAAAAGATCAAGAAGGCCAAGTCTGGAATGGGAATGAGAAGGAGAAAGGCAAAGGGGGAAGAAAGCCACATGGGACAGGACGGGTTCCTGGGTTTAGACCGTTTCTGGCGGGGAGGAAACACGCGTTACGTGTAAGTGGCCGTTTCCCCGTTCTTTGTCCGGCCGGTTTAGGGGAATGCTGTTTCTTTCCGTTTTTCTTGGTCGGGGATGTCCGTGAAAGGAGGGGGTCTCTGGGCTGGCTGGAGGGCGAGCGAGCTAGGCGTTTGTGGGGTTGGTTCAGGTCGGGTTTCTATATTTGAATTGCGGCGTTGGCTGTTTCTCTACGGTGAAAGAGGGCGGGGGTCAAAGGATGAGGGTGACGGGGAGAGAGAGTGTGTGTGATGTCCGGCGATGGTCGGGGGATTTGGCCGGCTCGGTGCCCGGGGGGCTCCGGGCCGGGTGCCGGTGGGATTTGTTCATGCATGTTTGATGACGGCATTGGGGGCGGATGGGACGTTCATGTAAGTGGGAGACTTTCAGTTTTCTTGAATTACGATTAAATGGAGGTACATTGCAAGATGTGGATGGACTGTCGGCCGTGTCTTGACGTTTCCCGGCCGAGTGTGTGAACTTTTCCATGCCCCCTTAAACTCCTGACCAACCTTCCCCTTCCTGTCCTTAGAGTACTAGAAAACAACGTCGTTCCCGGGCCAGAGGACATCGTACGCCGCCCCCTCGTCGAGACTGATGTTGCCGACGACGTGTAACCCCGTGGGGTCGGCGAAGGCCATGTCGGCGGGGGGCCCGATGAACTGGCCGAGGTCGTCGAGGTCGCGCCACGAGAAGCCGCGGCAGAGGAGTTCTGTCTGGCTTAGGGGCAGCGAGGTCATGCCCATGCCGCTGGCGCCAGCGTGGTGCATCCCGGAGGCGTGGTCGTGGCCTAGCAGCATGGACGGGTGCGGGTCGTGGTAGGACGGGGAGGGGTTGGAGAGTTCTGTGGAGGGGAGGATGGATGTTGCTGTGTGGTGGTGGGAGGGCGCGGTGTGGGAGGACGGGTGGTGGCCTGGACGCGAGGAGGAGGAGGCGGTTGGTGTTGTCTGGGATGGGTGGTTGCCGGCGGCGGCGGCGGTGGATGTGGTTGCTTTGGGAGACGTGGAGGAGGAGGCTGATTTGGAGCGCCAGAGGAGGGAGAGGAGGGAGGCGTAGCGGTGGCCGAGGGAGTGGGGGGAGATGGAGGAGCGCTGGAGGCAGGTTATTGTCACGGAGATGGAGCGGCGGACGGAGTCGGATGCTTCTGCGCCGAGGGCGCCTGCGAGGCGGGCCTGTTGGGGTTGTCAGTGATGGGTTCATCTTGAGAAAGGGGGGACAGACCTTGAAGAGGAAGACGGCCGCGTAGATGACGTAGAGGTAGTACTTCAGCGGCATGTATCTCAGCCCCGTGACGGGGTCGACGGAGGTGTTGAGGATGTTGAGGAGGGAGTTTGCGGCGTCCATGGACTCGTAGATGAAACGGGCGTCGGGGGTGCTTGCGAGGTCGCCGAAGAGGGGGGTGTTTATCGCCGTTGTCGTGCGTGCGGTCGTTGCGCTGGTGGGCTGTGCTTGTTGCTGTTGTGGTTGTTGTTGTGGTTGCTGCTGAGGCTGTGATGATGATGATGATGCTGATGCTGTTGTCTGGGACTGCTGCTGCAGCTGTTGCTGTTGCTGGCGGGCGCGGGTGATGGCGCGGTTGATTGTCGCCTGGAAGGCGAAGGCGTTGATGTAGAGGCGGAGGAACTCGTATGAGAGGTTGAGGGCGGCTTTGATCAGGGGTGTGACTGGGAAGTTCTTGTTAGTGTGAAGTTTATGAGGTTGAGATTTGAGATTGATGGGATTACAGCTTAGACTTCCCCAGACGAGTTTCCACTTTCTGAGGACCGCGAAGGAGTCGTCCTGGCTTTTTGTTAGGGAGATTTCATATCAAGATGGTGAAGGTAGGTGAGAAGCATACGATATAGCGGACATATTCGCCGCCGAGGTATAGCTGCGCCCGGTGGCCCGCGGACGAGTACAGGATGTCGTGGGCGTTGCTGAAGAGCTGGATGAGCTCGAGCTGGGCCTGGAAGAGCTGGCCGAGGTTATCCGGCCCGGCCTGCTGGACGCGCAGCGACGGAAAATCGGCGGAGCGGGGGATCGTCGACGGGCCCGGGCCGCGGGACCAGAAGCCCTTGCCGACGCGGATGGACACCTCGCGGTCGCTCATGTAGCAGGCTGCATTTGTTAGTTATCTCAGGGAAAATGGGGGCAATGAGACAGTTTGCGGACATACCAGCCCATACAAGCCGTTTCCTGCGGAACTGCTCCGACAGGGCGCTCTGCTTGTCGACGAGGAGTCCCGTCTGCTCGAGGCTCTGGAGGTAGCCGAGGCGGATGGCGACGCCGATCTGCATCCAGGCGCCCTCGTCCTCCTCGCCGCGGCCGACGGTGGGTTTCTCCTGCAGGCGCTGGGGCGCCCACTGGGCCAGGATGAGGAGGGCCTCAACGGCGCCGACGGTCGTTGAGCCCTTGTAGATGAGCTTGGAGATGAGGGTCTCCATGTGCCGCGAGCAGGCCTCGTGGACGGCCGAGAGGGAGGGCTCGTCCTTGGAGACGACGGTGAAGATGGCCGTGACGAGGTGCGGCTCCGAGTCGGTGAGGAAGGGGATCGAGGGGGGCGAGAGGATGCAGTTGTGGGCTACGGGGAAGAAGGGGTGGTAGTGTTCGTAGTACGTTGCGAGCAGGCGGGAGGCAACGGACAGAGAGAGAACACCGTCCGAGATGGGAGGGTAATGATACGTCGCGAGCATCTTCGAGGAGGGGTGGTCGCGGGGGGTCCCGTCTTCGTGCGTGGTGCTTCCGCTCGGCTTGCGGTTCCTCTCCGTCCCGCCGTCGCCGTCCAGATCGGCTACCTGCGCCAACAGGTTCAACGCGTCAGACGGGTTCAGGAGGTCGCTCGACGTGATGTGCCCCTCTATATCCCCCGCGCTCTGGAGGGACCGCCCGCCGGGGCTGTTTGGCTGGGACCCGGACCCGGGCCAGCTTGCGGCGCGGCCCGGTGTTTCTGCTTCCGGGGAGCATGACCATGGACGGGTTGTCTCTGAGGGCTTTTGGTCGGTGCTTGGTGGTTGCTCGCTTGAGGCGGCGCCCTCGGCGGGGACGGAGTCGAAGGTGGATGTGGTGCCCGGGGGAAACGGGGCCGCGCCGGTGGAGTCCGAGTCCGGCAGGCGGACGCATTTGCGGGGACGCCGGCCGCCGCGGCGGGAGGTTGCCAAGACGCACTCCTTCTGCTCGCGGACGCAGCGACGGCAGGGCGGGATGCCCGGGTTCCCGCCGTAGTCTCTGTTGATGGTCAGCGGTCTTTGATTCATGACATGGATCGGCTCGACGGCACCGTGGGGTACGACTGGAACACGCGGTACGGGCGGGGTCGGGGGGTTTGGGGGGCTGGGGGCTGGGGGCTGGGTGTTTGCGCCGCGGCTATGCATGAAGCGAACGGGGTCGGTCGGTCGGGTGACTTACAGGTCGCATCGTGTCTTCCTAAGCCGGCAGGACACGCAGGCCCGCGATACCCGTCTCTCTTTTCCATTTGCCGTGGTACGAGAGACTCGGTGTTGCGAGGATTGGCCGACGAGAGCCGGCGATGGTCGTGGGCCGGCTTCAACAGACATATCGGATTTGGGGGAACGGAACAGGCGGGATACTAATTCGGCCCGAGCTTCTCCTTCTCTTTCGCCTTTTGAAAGCAGAGGGGGACCGACAGGTGACACCGGGCTAAGACGCGGAGCAATCCGACCGATGCCAAGACGAGACAAGCACCGACCTGCAGTGCTTGGGTGCGGATCTACTTCAGCGTTACCGTTGTTTCTTTTGCGGGATTGGGGAGTGGAGAATGAAAGGGGGGAAATGGACGGGGACCGCAGATGGAGGAGAGAGGTAAAGGGGAATTGAATTGGGCGACGCGGAGTGCGAAGAAGCGTCGGCAATTCAGGAGGGCATAGTACAGGGGCGGCAATGTGGCTCTTTGTATCGGCGATAGTTGGGGTTTTAAATGTCTAGTTTCCTTTTCACACTCGTCCTGCCGTACAGACACATGCTGCCGCCGCGCAAAAGACTGTCTGATAGTCTTTCTTGGTTAGTTGGTTGGGCGAGACCGCCAGGAGGTCATGACGCAGTTGAGAGACGGGCAAGGTTTATGAAGGTTTGCGTTGGAGTACTTGAACCACCGTCCATCCTTGCTTGCTGCCCACCCTGCCGAGAGCTTGAACCCTTCCCCTCCCTTTTCTGCCTCCCCCGACACTGAAGATTGGGGACAGATCGTAAGCATTACCGATCGAGAGCTAGCTCTTCGCGGGCAGCAGAATCGCGAGCGGGAGGTTACTGAGATGGCGCAACCCTGCAGGCAAGGTTTGGTGATGCGAGCACGTATACTGACAGCTGCCGTTCATTGGACGGGATCTTGGAAGGATAGATGGATGTAAAAAAACTGTTTTTCTTTTTGTATCTTTTCAATTCATGTTTGCCCTATGCCGGCTCTTGATTCAATTCAATCGGCTGCCGGCAATCATTTCAAACCTCCCGTGAGAAGGATTTCCTGCCCGGTTAGATATCCCGTTTTGGCGAACCTGCATCGGTGATTTAGTCGAGATCTTCGGGCATCTGGCCGCGACGCATGGAAATGACTTACATCGTGACGACGTTGGCTACTTCTTCGGGTGCACCCAAACGGTGGACTGGAACGCTTGCTGCGATCGCGAGGCCGGGGTCGGTGGCTCTCAGAGCCTCAAGGTCGTCTCTGCTGTCCCAGGTTCTGCTTCATGTCAGTTGCCGACATTGGGGCTGGGGAAGGAAGAAGGAGGAGGACTTGCGTTGATTTGGGTGTTGCGATCATGCCTGTTGCGCCGATCATCGCGGGGAGAACCTGTTGCAGGATGAGTTGAGTTGTTCCCTCTCACGAAAGCTGTGTGGCGTCCGGACTTACAATGTTGACTGTGACTCCCTCTGGCGCCAAGAGCGTTGCCAAGTTGAGCCCCATGGAGCTTTGTCTGTGTCAGTCACGCCTTACAGAGCCAAGTGCCTCCGTCAACGACAACTCAAGACTATGAGATCACTCAACTCACCAGAGCGCACCCTTGGTCGCAGCATAATGGCACCCGTTGATACCACCTCCACGGCTCGCAATGCTTCCAACCAGCACAACGCGCCCCCAGCCCTGCGCCCTCATCCCTGGCAGACACGCCTTCGTCACGACAAACTGGCTGCGCGCGTTGACCTCCATCATCTCATCCCAGTCATCCTCGCCAATGTCGGCGGGATCACGGATCCGGCGCCCGAGCCCGGCGTTGGCGACCAGGATCGAAATGGCCTTGTGCTTCTGCGTGAACTCATTGCTGGCGAAGATGCTGGGCACCAGGTTGCGTGTCGACTCCCGCGATGAGAGGTCCGCCTGGAAGGGCACGAAGAGTTGTGAAGGGTACTTTGCGCGCAGTTCCTGGGCCAGTGCCTCGGCTTTACCCTGCGTGAGAGAAAGAGTTGTTGGTTATTTGTGTGCAAGTTGGGAGTTGTGAAGTGAAGGGAGGGGGTCCGTGTTGTGGGTTGTGAATTACTTGACTTGAGGAGTAGTGCAGCGCAACATCGCACCCTTCTGCCGCGAGGGCGTGTGCAACTGATGACCCGATACCACCACTGGAACATGAGTTAGCCAAGGTAGGTATCGTGTCTTGAAAAGTGAATCAGAATCACCTTGCTCCCGTCACCAAGGCCAGGCGACCTTGTGTGCGGTTGTCCGTGTTCTGAATTGTATGCTGAACCATTTTGGAAATCTATCAAACCCCTTGTCTAGAGCTCTTGTTCGTATGCAAGTCGTCGAAAGGAGCACGGGCTATTGTCTTAAAGGGTAGTTAGTCGACTTGCTGCTGTAGTCTACCAAAGCCAGGGTATCTTCACTTGCCGTCTGTTTATGTGAGATGGTCTTCAATGTTGAACATGAGAGCAACGGCTAATGAGGGGTTGGAGGCAGCGCGGGACAAACACCGAGGGCCGAATTGCCGACGGTGCAATTGCCGCCGCTATCGGGGTGGATTTTGATGGAGTACCTCACCTGCAGGAGCTTGAGTCGTCATGCCATAATTACTGGTTGGTTCGTAAAAGTCATAGCTGCACGCGACAGATCCTCAAACTTGCCGGATTCAACCAAAATGAGCGATGAAGAGCGTTGTCTGGTGCCATTGCGGGCGCCTTCGCGAGAATCGTCGGCGTTTGTGGGTTCATTGTGCCCATGGGGACGCATCACTCGTCTCCTGACCTCGCAGACCTTGGAGCTGCAATCAATTGCGGAGGGTCCAAACATGTCACGATTGCTGCATCATCGCGACTGACGTGGAAAACCAATCAAAACCACTGACTCAATTGCCGCAGCCTCTTGTCCTCTTTCAGACTTTCAGTAGCCGAGCCCTGGCAGAGGACGTCCCTCTGTCGGTTATTGCCGCCTCGGGCTCGCCGTCTGATGGTTTGGATAACCTAGTAATTCAATTGCCAGCAGTAACGCGTTTCAATCTATGCCGTCCCCAGGCCAGATCAGTCACCCCAGACCCCGCAGATATGCTTTTGTTGGTGCTGCGAGTGGATTCCCGGGGAAGTGGTTCTGCCGTCTGGCTCGTCGATCCAAGACGATGGCTCTCGGTGCAACAAAATCTGGCATCACTGCTGCGCGTCGCCATATCTTTCCATCCACACACTCACACCTTCCACATATAAGCGTTCGGCTCCAGGCGTTCGGACGAGGGTTTCCGGCAGGTGCCAGAAGCATCAGACATCTGCTCCCCGGAACTGTGAGCGGCGTGCTGGACAACACTGAATCGCGAACGCTTCATCGACACAGACGACTACGACGACAACAACATGGGAGAACTTCGTGGACAGGCGCTGGTTTTGACCGTGAGCGTGTTGACCTCGTTGGGGTTCATGCTCATTGGTTACGACAATGGACTGATGGGAGGACTGGGTGAGGATAGCTGCCCTATGTTGTCTTGTAAAAAGATGTCTTGGCTGACTGGTGATCTGTCTAGTAACGGCTCCGGCCTTCAACAAGACCTTTGACTCTCCTGACCCGACGATGACCGGCCTCATCGTTGCTATCTACGAAAGTATGACGCTCTTCGCGGTTTCCTCGGGCTCATCACACTAACTGCTGCAATAGTTGGCTGCTTCCTCGGTTGTGTTGCCACCGCTTTCTTCGGCGAGAAATTCGGTCGTCGCAGGACGATCGGAGCCGGTGCCGCAGTCATGATCGTCGGTGCCATCGTCCAGGCTGCATCTTACGGTCGCACTCAGATGATTGTCGGAAGAATCGTCTCTGGTATCGGCATGGGCATCGTCAACTCGACCGTCCCAGTGTTGCAAGCCGAGTTCAGTCCAAAGTCTAGTCGCGGAATTTGTAAGTTTTCAAAACCCCATCGCCGGCGACCACTCTAACGAAAAATTGCGCAGACGTCTGCGCTCAGTTGTCAACACTCAACTTCGGTATCTTCCTCATCTACTGGATCGACTACGCCTTCTCCTCTCACGTTGAGAGTTACGCCTGGAGAGTCCCCGTTGCCCTGCAATGCGTCTGCATTCTTCCCATGTTCGCGATTCTCAAGATCATCCCTGAGACGCCCCGCTGGTTGGCTTCCCACGACCGCCCGGATGAGTGCCTCGCTGTTCTGAGACGGCTCAAGTGGGACGAAGACGAAGAGTCGATCAGGGTGCTTCACAACTCGATCATGCAGACGGTGGCGTACGAGCAGTCGGTGAGCGCTGGGTCTTGGAGGGACCTGTTTGTGAACGATCGCATCAAGAGTCAGAGGAGATTCTTGATTGCTTGCGCAATCCAAGGATTCCAGCAGCTTGGTGGAATCAACGCCATCATCTGTAAGTGTTTTGGGTTTCGGGAGTGATCATTGCTAATACTCGGCGGTTAGACTATAGCAGCACCCTCTTCGAGAAGAGCATTGGTTTCGATAACCACATGTCGAGTCTCATGTCTGGATTCCTGCAGACGTGGTTCTTTGTGGCCTCGTTCATTCCCTGGCTGTTGATTGACAGGATCGGTAGAAGACCACTGGTGTGTCATCATCAACGACTCTGATATTGTCCAGTAACTAACGAAGCCCACAGTTGTTGTCCATGATCAGCGTGATGGCTGCGGTGATGGCAGTGCAAGCTGGCCTCATCTACCAGGTTCAGAACGCCACAGCTATTGCGAAGGCGGCAGGTATTGGTGCAGCCGCAATGCTGTTTGTGTTCCAGGGAGCTTTCACCATTGGATTCCAGGCAACCGTCTGGGTTTACCCGTGAGTAATGTGTTGATTTGAAAAGAAAACCTAGCTGACATCTCTCAGATCCGAAATCCTGCCTCTTCGGATTCGCCAACTTGGCTCTTCAGTTTCCAGTGGAGTCAATTGGATCTTCAATTACGTGAGTTGCAGACCTTGTTCAAGGACTAAGCGCAAGCCACTAACAAGTACTAGATGGTCGTCCAAATCACCCCAATTGCAATCTCCAACATTGGTTGGAGAACCTACATCATTTTTGCTGTGCTTAACGCTACTTGGGTTCCGATCATCTATCTGTTCTTCCCAGAAACCAAGGGTTTGGAGCTGGAAGATGTAGACCGCCTCTTCTCAGGAGACAGCTTCGTTGACTTGAACCGTCACGACACTAGCGAGAAGCACGAGGTGTGGGACGTTGAGGAGGTTAGGGCATGAGTAGCCAGCGAGACAGATTGAAGAAGCACGAGTCATGTATCTAAAGCCAGATTGCTGTACGAAAGAAAGAGATAGCGTCCGTAGAGTTTGGCTGCCATTAAAAAGATCTATCCCTTCGTTTCACCTCGGTAGATGCACATCGCACAGATGACTGCGTGATCGATCAGCTTAGACTTTGCATACGTTTCGACGCCCACCAGCAGCAAAAGCCCGAGTCATCCCACACTAAGAAACCCCCTGCTTCTGAGCCATTTGTTTGCTGGCCCGGACCCATAAAGTGTAAACCTGTGACATCGACAGCTGAGGTGGCCACTGGCACGTACATGCCCCGCATTAGCTCCAACCCGGGGCAACGTGCCTTGATATCCGAGCTCCCCTCATTCCTCCTGTTGTCAGGCAGGTCTCCCTTAGTTCGTCCATTCGTTCGTCCTCAATCCTTGGCATACTTTTTCATAGTCTGCTTACTACTCGTTTGACGATTACGCTATCTTGAACCATGACGAACGCGTCCGCTTTTGCCGTCTACGACGACTCCGTGAAGAAGCTGTTCGGCGCGGACCCGACGCTGGAGCTCCTGCACGAAAACCAGGACTATCCCTTCGCGCACGAGGCGGGCGTCTTCATCGAGCGCGACAACACCCTCTTCATCACGAGCAACCAGTTCCCCGACGACAAGGGCGGCAAGAAGATCCAGGTATGTCGCATCACGCTGCCCGCGGACTTCGCGGCTGCCAAGGTCAAGGTAGAGGAGATCGCGCCTGAGGGCGTGTACATGGCGAACGGCGGCGTCAACTACCTCGACGGCGTCATCTTCTGCTCGCAGGGGTCGCTGGACTCGCCGGGCGGGATTGTCTTCATGGAGGCGCAGCCGCCGTATCAGACGCGGTTGCTGGTGAGCTCGTTCCACGGCCGGGAGTTCAACTCGGTCAACGATGTGGTGGTGCACAGTGACGGGTCCATCTGGTTCACCGACCCGATCTATGGGTATGAGCAGGGCATCAGGCCGCGGCCGAAATTGCCCAACCAGGTGTACAGGTTTGACCCGATCAGGGGGTCGATTAGGGCCATGGCCGATGGGTTCGGAAGGCCGAATGGAATTTGCTTCAGCCCTGATGAGAAGACTGTGTATGTGACGGATACCGACTGGATTCATGGAGATGGAACGACGGATCTCACGAGACCTTCGACGATGTGAGCTCATTTGAATCATTGTGAAAGAATGCTGCTGATTGTTGAAATAGCTACGCTTTTGACCTCGTGTCATACTCTGGACAGCCGTTCCTGGCCAACAGACGGTTGTTCGCCATGGCTGACACTGGAATCCCGGATGGCATCAAGTGCGACGTTCACGGAAATGTGTACAGCGGGTGCGGTGATGGTATCAACATTTGGTCGGCAGGCGGTGTCCTGCTAGGCAAAATTCTCATTCAGGGGGGCGCTGCTAATTTCTGCTTCGGGCGAAATGGAGAGGTGTTCATTCTTAATGAGAATAGACTGTGGAGGGCTAAGCTTGCCGATGAAACGAAGGGAGCTCTCCTATGTATTTAAACAATCACCGCAAATGTCGCAGGCTTCAAGCCAAAAGATCAAAAGTACAGCAGCTTTAAGTGTCAGCCTGATCCACGAACGACTGTAACCTACAAGAATGCCAAGGACAGCGTATGTCGGGATGAAATGTAGGATGGGCCTGATGGAAGCTGATGTTCCCAGCACAACCACAAGGATATGTATGACAGGCTGCAGATTAGCTGAAGGCGTGAAGTAACGGTGTCGCCAATCATGTCATTTGAACACACCAAAATAGAACTCCAGTGGGTCATGTCTTCGTCGTAAAATTGAGAACGGGAACTGTGCAAGTGGTTGGGGTAATCACACCAGGCAACAAATGATGATTCAAGCCATCACTGCTGACTGCAGGTGGCGCTCTCAGCGCAGCCGGTGTGTAACCCTACATGATGTGTCAACATCTCAGCCTGATATCTGGTGGATATTTGAAAAATCAATGCCCTAACAATCTGTCCGTTTCCTTTTGTCTATATACACTCAGTGCTTACACCGAACAAAACTGACATAAAATTCAAAGGCACTGGGACACGATGGAAATGTCCGAAATCCCTCGTCGTCCGTCTGATAAGACCGAGCCTTACCACACGCGACCTTCATCGCCAAGCACGACGAATGACGTCGATATCACCGAAATAAGAGACAATTTTGGGTCGCATGAGCGTTTGGTTTCTCCAAAGCAAGATTCGAACCCAGTTTTCATTCAACACGTCTCGCACAGCACAGAGCTTCCGAAGGCCAACTGGTGGGAGAGACTCCTCCTAACCCGCGATCTCTGGAGCCCAACTTGGAACATTTATCTCTTTTGCATCATTGGAATTGGTTTTGCTATCGGCCATCACGTCTTCTACGCGTCGCTTGAAGGCAAGATTGTATATGGCGATGACCAGTTACTCATGCTCCGCTACGGCACGGCTCTTGCGTTCGCCGCAAAAGCTAGTCTTGTGGCTTCAGTCCTGACAGCCTTTCGAGAGCAAATGTGGGCTACTGCCAGATCGAGAATGATATCGATTTCTACCTTGGATGATATGTTCGCAGCACCAGAAACGCCGCTTTCACTTTTGAATTTAGAATTCATTAGCAAGGCCAAAACAGTCGCGGTTTTGGCGTTGTATGAATGGTAAGCACAACATGAATAACAGGCATTGACGAATATTGAGCTGAAAGAGTTTAGGCTGTCTCCATTGATAGTGATTCTAACGACGAACACACTTCTCGCGAAGCCTGCCCTAGAGGTTCAGCAGACCAGTTGCCCTGGCGTTCGAACCCTCAACTTCTCTCGGGAGGCAACAAACGAGTTCCGAGACGGGCTGAAGATCGATGGCTATTATCGGCTTTCAGTCAATCTTTGGAACACCACGAGTGTCAATGTGACCGACCCTTCATTCTTTGATTATTGGGCAGGACCCAGCGACCAAGGCAAGGAGGTGTTCCAGGCAGCGACGACCTTGAAGCGCCCATTCACCAATATAGACGATACTTTTGCGGTCTGTGAAAAGGGGTGGAACTGCACTGCTGAGGTTCAGTTCGCCGGGCCTGCGTACAAGTGTCAAGAGATGGCAAGAGGGGTAGGTGCGACAGTTCGCAGTCTTGAGCAGGAATCAGGCGTAACAAAACCCCCCTTTCCGTTCAAAAGACTTGCGCCCATGGGAAATTATACTTGGCATGTCCATGCAACGCTAGGAGACTATACGAACCCGCAACTCAACGATACCTGGCCAGGAGGGGTGCCCGTAATGGACCCGCCTTTTCCAAAACATCTGGGAACTTTTCGAATGGAGCCTGTAGTATGGGTGGGATATTCGGAATATCTCAATACGTCTCTTTCGAGCAACGACACCTCTAACATCGAGGCGTGGGACCCTGTTTTGATAGCATGCGAGCATTATGAGGCTGCGTATACTGCAGAGCTCAGGTTCATAGACGGAGCACAGGTTCATCGGATCAAGAGCCGTAAACTTCTAGCTCCTCTTATCAACACCACCTTGGTAGAAGGTAAAGATGCTAATGACGGTACAACCGACAACACTACCGCAACCCCAGAGACCAACTATATATTACCAACAGACACGGAAATATACCGCAAAACTGCGGCATATCACACTATCGGCTGTTTCTTTCGTCACCAGGTGAATGGCTCCATTTATCAGCCGTGGACTGTTGTCGATACTCGTGCAATTTACACAAGTTTGATAGACAACAGGTACTATACCGCTGTTCCGAATCTTCGAGAACGTTTGGAAGAATATTATGAGACATTGATCTTGTCACTCTTTGGCGATCCAAGATTTATAGCCGTGGGGTGGGCCGCAAATCCAAGCATGATGGCGACGTCAACAACTGGAACCAACTATACATATCCATGTACGCGTTCGCGACCCGCCATCGCGTATTACTATCGCGCTCGAATACTGGCACTTGTTTATGGTATGGCTGTATTCCTCGCAATCATGGGAGTGGCGGCTGGGACAATTGCGCTGCGGAAGAATGGTGGAGTCTCGAGGAACACGCGGTTCTCCAGCATTATGGCGGCGACCAGGGCAAAATCTTTGAACCATATAGACTGGAATGGGCCACAGAGGGATCGCGGACACATTTCCAACGACGTAATGCGACAGAAGCTTGGATATGGAAAATTGAGAAGCTACATAAGCGACGAAGTACATCGAGATGGCTCTCACGAGTCGAAGACGGCGGAAGCTCATTATGGGTTTGGGTTTGAAGGGGAAGTGGATCAGACACCAGCAGTGAGATCACGACGGGTCTTTCTCACAAATACAGTAGACGGTTAGGCAATCGATGGAATGATGCGATAGTTTTCATTGAATCGTCTCGTCATAAGCCTTTATACTCGGCCTCCTTCGTCCGTTTCCGTCCTTCGCCGTCCTTTATCTCCCTCCTTCTTCCTTCGTCCCTATCATCTGTCTCCTCAGCCAGCTCTCAGAGAATCCTGGTCTGCTGGGGCCAGGGGTACTTCTCTGCGATAGAAGCCGGCAATCTGACGCGGCCACGGGGGTGTATCTTCATTCCATGCTCATCTCTCATCTGGGGCCACGTGATACCCTGGCCGTCTGGGGTGTTGATCTGGTAGACGGAGTTGATGCGGTAGGCGAAGTCGTAGCCATTCCAGTCCGAGTGTCTGTCATTGAATTCTTCATTGCCCAGGCCGTTCTCGGGGATGGGCTGGTCGCCGGGGTTGCGGGTTGCGGCGGGAGACACCTCGCAGACGTGGGTGATGGCGGAGTGAGGGGCGGTTCTGTAGAACCAGATTCTCTTGATGCCTTTCATGTTGTACTTACGGAACTCGTAAGTCTTGGTGCCGTTGATGATTTGCTGCATGTAGGGGTCTTGCATGGCAAGTATCATGTCGGTGTTTGGCGTCGCCATCTTTCGTCGTCGTCAGGGTTGGTCTTTGGGTCTGGTTTGGGTCTGGTTTGGGTTGGATTGTAGTCTGGAAGAGGTAGAAGCTGCTGCTGAGAAATACTTGTGATATATGCTCCTTCCTCACTTTAGGTGTGATATAGCGATCTTTTGGGGGCTGAAGAGATCGGATTGAAACATCATCTAGGGCCGTCCACTAACTGGACTGGTTCATCCTCATCAGCAACCTGTGCAAAAACCCTCCTTGGTCATGTGCCACATTCAGAGTGATTCAGCTACACGCTGAAAAATTACGCTCATCAAGTTGGAGACTCATCCAGGTGCATCGAAACTGAAGCTATCTCCGAATACCCTGCCCAAGCTTTCTGCAACCTACTAAATTAAGATGAACTTGCATATTCGCCCCAAACCGAGTCTCCACTGAACCGGCAGCTCAAGCTTCATTTTCATTTCAATCGTCTAATATCTACATTTACCTGTCTCACGTCAGCTGATCTTGACGTTTGATTTAATGAAGCGCATGTGTGATTAGATAATCGCTACTGGGCAGCTAACGTCATCAGTCGGGAGGAACAAAGACGCCGCTTTCTCCGATCACAACCCCGCACCCCTTGTTGTTCATCCTTCTATGGACAATCTCAATCATATTGCCTGACCAATCAATTCTACTGAATCACAATATGGCGCCCCGAACCCGTGAAGAGTTACTTGCATACGGCGTGCCTGATCCGGACTTTGAGGCTGTAAGCTGCTGCCTTGCATGACCCGTACGGTGCTAACCATACATGATCAGGAGCTCGCGGCACGTCCGGTACGCGGACCACAGCCGAGTGATCCGTACTTTGGCCGAGCAGATTTCTTCGCATTGCGAGAACACAGAGCCACGCATCTGCGGGAGAAGCACCACTTGCGCTACCTTCCTGGCCCCATTCCCGAACAGGTGCGTGAAGAGGATCGCAAGATCAGGGTCAGGGATGACCATGAGATTACGGTTCGCATCTACACGCCGGTGAAGACCCCCGCGGAAGGAAGCCCTCTCATTGTCATGTACCATGAGGGAGGCTGGTCTCAGGGTGACTTGACGGATGAGGAAGTCAACTGTCGCCTATTCAGTCGCGACCTTGGGGCTGTCTGTGTCAACGTTGAATACAGGTAAGCTCTCTGGTAACTTTGGAAGAATCAAAGACTCATGAAACTTAGACTTGCACCCGAGTTTGTGTTTCCCACGGGCATCAACGATTCCTGGGATGCCCTCCAGTGGGTTAGTCAGACCATATCCCTCGTTTCCTTTGCCGCCCATTGACACATGTGGAATGTAGGCCGCGAAGAATGCATCAGAACTCGGAGCAGACCCTTCTCGTGGGTTCATCATCGGTGGAGGCTCCGCTGGCGGCAACATCGCAGCTGTTCTCGCCCATCTGGCTCGCGACAACAAGCTTTCGCCACCCGTAACTGGCCAATACCTTTGCGTCCCAGCAATTATGTGCTTCCTACCACCCGAAGACGTTCCGGAGAAGTATCGCGCCGAGTATCTCAGCCACCCTGCTGTGACACCGAGCAAAGACCCCATCATTGGCGATGCCAAAGACGCGGCCGCCGGCCTCCAACTTGTTCTTAAGCCAGACATGGAGAGTCCCCTTTTCGTCCCCTTTCACAATGGGAAGATTGGTGAAGGCCACAAGGGTTTGCCGCCTGCCTATTTCCAGGTTGCCGGCCTGGACCCCTTGAGAGATGAAGGTCTCATTTATGAGCGGGTGCTGAGGGAAGAGGCTGGTGTGAAGACCAAGCTGGACATCTACACTGGTGTTCCGCACTATTTCTGGACGAATTTTCCGCACCTTGAGAAGAGCAAGCAGTTTGTCGAGGACACGGTCAAGGGCGTGAAGTGGCTGTTGGAGCAAAAATAGGTTTGAAGAATCATTGCCTTGGCTTGTATTTTATCATCCTGCCATGGTCGTATGCGCAGGCTTTGGTCTACATGGATACGGTGATAAAGCCCAGTCCAAACGCACGGTTTGTCAGCAGTTGTCGTGAGCCTTCTCGTGGATCGCAACATCCGGACTCGTTCTCGGTTCCGACCCAGAGTGGTGCGTCAAAAGCATTGACAGGGGTTCATTCGTGGTTCTGTTGCCTCGTATCTTGAATGGAATACGGATGAGAGTCGCCTGATTAAGCTTGATGTCAAGCTATGCATAATGGCAGTCTCGGCAGTGGCCGATTACGCAGGAACCATGAAGCTTGGCGGGGGAGCGCTTTGGAAGAATGGGGAAGGTGGTTCAATGCCAGGGTTCCATCGCGACCCATGCCTCATTTCGGGGCGAGGTCTTGGCTGCCGGGAGGGCTCTGACCTTGGTCGCAATACGAGGTCTTTAGGAGCGTTGCTCGAAATGCTTATCAAAGTTCTCAATAACGAGCTCAGATATCAAGCTGCGGAGTTGATCGGCGACCGGCCTTTCAGTCAATTGGCAATGAACGAGCCTGACGAGGCCGTTCCCGCCGGTGAGAGGAGCCGGCCGGGGGTCGGATCTACCCGCTACAGGCGGCATCGCGAGCTTCCTGAATAGGGCATCGTCCCCGTGTCACGCCATGCAGGCATTCTCTCCTGTCCGATTCAAGAACAGGAGTCTCCGCGACGATGCATGGGTTGACGGCGACGGTTAAAAGCCCGCCCAAGGACCGTCCCATGAGGATGAATGTCATCGTCATCGACGCAGTGCCACCGCCCGACCGATCACCATGAAGGCAACCCTAGTCTCCCTCCTCAGCGCCATCGTGCCCGCTTTGGCGGCGCCGAACGGCATCAATCGCCGCGCCGAACCGGGCCTCATGGCCGGCAAGTACATCATCCAGCTCAAGCCCGGCACCAGCCCCGAGGCCGTCACGGCGCACCACAACGCCGTGCGAAGCCTGCTGCGCCGCCGTGACGGTTCCGCCGGCGAGGTCGAGAAGACGTTCCAGATTGGCGACTTCAACGCGTACAGCGGCTCCTTTGACGACGCGACTCTGGCTTCGATCTCGGAGCTCGACGAGGTTCTGATCGTCGAGCCCGACACGCTCATCTACCTTGAGCCGACCGAGGCCCCCGCGACCTCGAAGCGCGATCTGACCACGCAGACGAGCAGCATCTGGAGTCTCGGCGACCTGTCCCACCTGGAGGCTGATGCGACGGAGTACGTCTACGACGAGAGCGCTGGCGAGGGCACCACAGCCTACGTTTGCGACACCGGCATCCGCTTGTCGCACGAGGAGTTTGAGGGACGCGCCCGCTTCGGCATCAACGGCGTTACTGGCTCTACGGAGCAGACCAGCTCGAACTCGGACACCGACGGCCACGGCACTCATGTGGCCGCCACCATTGTCGGAAAGACGTACGGCGTTGCCAAGAAGGCCAGCGTTGTCGACATCAAGGTTTTTGACGGTGACACGGTATGTTTGGATGGCTGGAACCATTTCCGTCCGGTTACTTACTTTCTCTAGGGCTCGACTTCCGCGATACTCACCGGCATCACCTGGGCTGTCAACGACGCCATCAGCAGGGGCGCTCAGAACACCTCCGTCCTTAACCTCTCACTCAGCAGCACCGGCGGCACTTCTGCTCTCGACAATGCCGTCCTCGCGGCCTACCAGCAGGGCATTCTCTCCGTCGTCGCAGCCGGTAACAGCAACCAGCCGACGACCGACGTGTCCCCGGCGAGGCTCCCCCAGTCCTTCACCGTCGGCATGACCCAGCCCGACCGCGGCCGCGTCAACATCATCGAGGACATCTACGGCAGCAACTACGGCCCGGAGCTGGACGTCTTCGCGCCCGGTCGGGACATCATCAGCGCGAGCCACACCTCCGACACCGGCACGGCCACGAAGACGGGCACCAGCATGGCGGCGCCGCTCGTTGCGGGGTTGGTGTGCTACCTCAGGGGCCTGGAGTCGGGCTTGGGAACCCCGGACGCGGTCACGAACCGGATCCTGGAGCTGGCGATCCCCGATGTCGTTGGAGACCCCAAGGGATCTCCCAATTTGTTGGTGAACAACGGCAGCGGCCGCTAAGATGGGACGATCAGCTTTGCGAAGGGAGGAGAAAACCTGGAGTGTGTGAGACTTTTGTACTGACCGCCGGATCTTGTTGTGCTATGTAGACGAATGAGAATGATTATGGCATCGCCCAGACGCAGCGACATGTGGTTTAAGGTTTGTTGACGTCACTTTGCTCCATTGCATAGACATGATCGACATATGAGGTGCTGGCTGTACTCCGCGAGCTGTTCGCACAAATCTTGATGCTGTTGAGATCTGTTGAACAAGTAAACAATGGCACCATGGATGGACTGGATGAAGGTGCCAACGCTGTGCAAAAAGCTGCTAATTGAATGGCTTACTTCGACCCCAGATCTTGCCGGGTAGCGAGCGAAACTAG